GGATGTCTTAATGTAAGGAAGCAATAAGCATTCGTTCAATTGTAAGTGGGTCCACACCTAAGCTTTAGCCTTCAGCCAGTCCAAGAGCCAATTAACTTAGTTTACTCTTCTGTGGAGACTGGCAGGCATTCCAGGTCAAGGCAAGGCAAAAGCCTGGATAGTTGAAAAAGACTCAATTATCCTCTCAAACCAATTTACAATTTCTTTTACTCCAGCTCTACCGAGGGACAAGGTCATTGCTAAGGATAAAACTCACAGAATGAGGCAAAAGAAAACGCCTAAGAATTCAAAAACTCATATAAGGACTAAGAATTCAAAAACTCATATAAGGACTTCTGAAGAACTTAGATAAAATATTCTATTTACGGCCTCTTGAAAGTAATAACAAGACAGAAATAGGTAGGAAGCAACAACCAAGTTTCAGAGAACAAACTAGATATGAAGTCAAACAGATTGTAAGACAACCTCCCCATTTGTAATACTAGGGTAGATTCATCCGCACCTCACACAAAATGCTGTGATAATTAAATGACATGACGCCCTTGAGAATTAACTCACAAGGCTTCTGACTCACAGTAAAGGTTGGGATCAAGGCACAGAACCAGCATTTACTGAGTGTCTCTTCAATCCAAAAGTAATCATAGTTCTGTATGGGCAACTTCAAACTTGGTGAGGGGGCTGGCATGTTGAACCACAACTCACAATGTCAGCACCCCACTTGGGTGCTGTTTGAAGTTCCAGCTGCTCCATTTCCAATCCAGCTCCCTGCTAATATGCCTGGAGAAGCAGTGAAAAAGCCCCATATGCTTGGGCCCCTGTCACCCATATGGGAGACCAGAAGGAAGTTCCAGACTCCTGGCTCTAGCATGAACCTGAACATTGCACCCATTTGGAGAGTAGATAGACTAAACATTTCTTTTCTTTTCTTTTCTTTTCTTTTCTTTTCTTTTCTTTTCTTTTCTTTTCTTTTCTTTTCTTTTTTCTTTTCCATTCTTTTATTCATTGTCTCTGATTTTCAAATACATAAAATGAATCTTTAAAAAAATTTAGATGGCAAGGTATCTTTGAAGACTTCATATTGGATTCAAGTTTCTCAAGACAACTTAGTTCATTTTACTAGTCTTGACATGTTGAAAACATCAATTAGAACCCCCCAAACTCAGCAACATAGATGCACAGAAAAGACATGGGTTCTGGAATCACACACAGAGAGGAATTTGAGGCCAAGCCCTAATCCTTATTGATTCTGTGGCCTAAAGCAACTCACATGTCCATCGTGAGCCCTGGTTTGCCATCATTATTGTATTCTATTGATTATATAAGGTCTCAGATCAATCACGTTATACAGCTCCTAGGATATTATAGCAACACAGAGCTAGTCTCCCAGTTCCACTGTGACAAAGCAATCTCCCAATGCAAGTATTTACCTGATGAGCAACAGGGAGGGAAAAGAAGTTCTTCTTATGGTGGTGTATTGTGACATGTAAGGGGCTTATACCCATTCTTCTAATTATGTGAAATTCATCATAATACTAATTCTGAACCACATAGAACAGGTCAATCATAATTCTTGTAACTTCCTTATTTATTTTTATTGTTATTATGATTTGCCATGAAACAGTTTTGGAGGTATAGGAAATTCTTAGCACTTCTTAAGTTCCTTCTCCCATTCATCCTTAGATTTTTCCCTACTACATCCCAAGCCTTTCTCAAAATCACAGCAGTACAGAGTAACAAATAATCTCCCTCTTTCTCATACATACACACACACACACACACACACACACACACACACACACACACATACACACACAGACATAAAAAATGAAGACAGTAGGTAGGACCTCGGGAACAAAAAACAAATCCTAATCTCTTGCAAACAAAAGCAACTATAATTTAAAATATATTACTCCCTTAGAAGGGCCATGAGGACTTAAAGAATTTTGTTCTGAAGTACACAGAGGCACAATATCAGGTAAGTAATCTTCACTGTATGTAAATTTAAATCAAATCATTTGAGGGACAGAGGAAGAAAAGGGCAGCTGATTGCATGCTCTTTCCCCAGAGGGGAAAAAAATCTATCACATATTCTGCCTCAAAGATCAGTCAAAGGCATATATTAACTTTGCACTTGATAAAACTGAGGGATATTCTGCACCCTCATCACAAGGGTAAAAGAAAGTATATCTCTGCATTGGGAGCCAGAGACAATCATTTTTAGCTGAATAAGAATGCCAGAATGGCAAACCCATGCTTTCCTTTTGATTAGCTGGAAAGCAATCAATGCACTCTTGCTAGATTGGAGATTTCACTCAAAATGGAAACTGGTCTGTAGTCCAGAAAGCTGGGAGTTCAGAAACAATACCCAGAAGGGATCTTGACACTTGCACTAAGAGCCCCAGTTGGCATGTCCATCAGGACCCAAGTTCAAGACTCCAGGCTTTGAGCAGTTGTTAAGAAATAAGGTCTAGGGCCTGGCATGGTGGCGCAAGTGGTTAAAGGTCCTCGCCTTGCATGCCAGGGATCCCATATGGGAGCCGGTTCTATCCCGGCAGCCCCGCTTCCCTTCCAGCTCCCTGCCTGTGGCCCGGGAAAGCAGTCGAGGACAGCCCAAAGCTTTGGGAACCTGCACCCACGTGGGAGACCCGGAAGAGGCTCCTGGCTTCGGATCGGCATAGTATCGGCCCGTTGCGCTCACTTGGGGAGTAAATCATCGGATGGAAGATCTTCCTCTCTGTCTTTCCTCTCTGTATATCTGCCTTTCCAATAAAAAAATAATAAAAATAAATCTTTAAAAAAAAAGAAATAAGGTCTAGTAATAAATACTCAATATTTTCAGGATTCAAAAATGTCATTCAATAGCTGAAAGAAACACCTTTGATGCTTATGGTTTGCTTCATTAAGCTGTTTTGATAGAGACACTGTATTTGTAATAAAGACACTTATTTAATTTTGAATATAGTAAGGGATAGGCAGATGTTTGCGATTTTTAGGATGGGGCAGTAAAACACCATTGAAACTTCTGGGACAGTGGAGATGAACTTCTTGCTATTTCAACAGCTAGCACAATTAAACTCTTTGGACAGTATATGTGAAACAAAGAAAGATTTTCTTCTGGCATCTTGTGATACTGTTCATTAAGAGAAAATATTTGTGCACACTGATGAAAGATGAGTGTCTTAAATATATAATAAAATCAAAACCTCAAGAGTAAAAAAAAAATACAATTAGAAAAGTCTTAATGAAATGAATGTGCCATCTGTTACATTAAGAAAACAGATGGAGTGGGAGTTTGGTGTAGCAGTTAAGACACCACTTGGGATGTCCTCATGCTGGGTTGGAGTAGCTGGATTCAAGTCTCAGCTCTGCTTCTAACTCCAGCTGTCTGCTAAAATACACCCTCGGAGGCAGCAGGTAATGATCCAAGTGCATATTCCCCCATTACCCACATGGGAGACATGGATAGAGTTGCTGGCTTTGACCTGGCCTAGCTTGGACAAATGCAAAATTCGGGGTGTGAACCAACAGACAGAAAACCTTTACGTGTCGCTCCCTATCTCCCTCTCAAATAAAATAAAGATTTTTAAGAAGAAAGCAGACCAGCTAGGGACCTTGTATTAACAAAAATGACACAGTGGTTAACTCCATGACTTTTCTTTTTGCCTTCCATAGCCCTTATTAGGAGCTGAGAAGCAACAACCTGGAAACACTAGCCAGACAGAATAAACACCAGCAAGAAGCCTGTCTTCACTTTCCAGAGAACTAAGAAAGTGGTGACTAGAAAAGAGATTCTTTTGGACAGTAAGTGCTCTATTTCAGGTTAAAAGCTCTGCCCTATCCCCACCCATACCAAGGAAGGCTGAATGTGGAGCCTAGACTCGAGCCAAGCACTGATATGGTACACCAGATTCCCCCACACCTACTTCAGAAAAAGCCAAATTATAGAAACAAGATTTTCATCCATGCTGGATGGTAGTATGGCTTTCCACTCCTATTCTGTAGTGACCATCTAGCTGTTGAAATGCAGAGCTTGAACTTCCACCACTGCCCAGCAGTAAGGAAGCCTCTCCCCTTCTCTGGGGTGCCAGAGGAAGCACTTGGGAAGCATCAGGAAGGTACAGCATACGCACAGCAAGGACAAGGATGCTCACATTTCAGTTTGGAAGAGAAGCCGAGGAAATTGGACTTCTACCCCCACATGGCAATGAGGCACCAACCCCAATCCCTGACAATGCAGTGTCAGAGGGAACCAGCTAAAACAAAGTGTGAATGTGATTAGAATCTGATAACATAATACCTTTAATGTCTAGATTGTAATAGAAAATCAGCCTTTATACAAAGAACCAGGAAGATCTTAAACTGAAACAAAGATGATCTTCATATACCAATGCTAAGATGACAGAAATGCTGTCATTAGGTGATGAAACCCTCATCATAAAAATGTCTCAATGAGTAATCGCATATATGCATAAAACGTAAAGAAAAATAGTCTCAACAAAGAAACCATGTATCTTGGTAAAAAAAAAAAAAAAAAAAAAAACAAGAAAAAAAGAAAAAAGAACCAGATGGCAATGTTAGGTCTTAAAGCACAATATTTAAAAAAAAAAAAACACCCAAATGATTAGTTACAATGATATGAGGAATAAGAAAAAATGGTACATTTTAATATCTAGTAATATAAATTATACACTACAAACACCAAAAAGAAAATAGACTGAAAAAAAAAAATGAATACTCAAATACCTTTGTGATTCTAAAGAATACGCCTAGCATCAGAGCACTAGAAGGAAAGAAGAAAAAGCATGGAGTTAAGGAAAATAACTTTAATAAAGAATGGCCAAACTGGCCCAGGACTACAGTTTGGAGATATGTGTATGTACACACACACACTCAAATACATATATTTAGTCATATATATATATTCTTAAATATGGGAAAACTAAGATAATTTATGGCTGAAATTCCTACTTTAAAATAATGCCTAAAGGCATAATGCCGCGGCCCGCAGGCACCCCGCCACGCGCGCTTCCCACCGCCAGGATGCCCAAGAGGAAGGTCAGCTCTGCCGAAGGGGCGGCCAAGGAGGAGCCCGAGAGGAGATCGGCCAGGTTGTCGGCTAAACCGGCTCCTGCAAAGGTGGACGCGAAGCCCAAGAAGGCAGCTGGCAAGGAAAAGTCGTCTGACAAGAAGGTGCCGGCCAAGGGCAGGAGAGGGGCAAAGGGCAAGCAGGCCGAGCTGGCCAACCAAGAAACCAAGGAGGACATGCCCGCAGAAAACGGAGACACTAAAAACGAGGAGAGTCCCGCCTCTGATGAAGCCGAGGAGAGGGAAGCCAAGTCCGATTAACGCCACACACCAGGTCTTATCAGTGCTCCCCGTCTCCCTTCTTGTACAATCCAGAGGAAGATTTTTATCAACTATTTTGTAAATGCAAGTTTTTTAGTAGCTCTAGAAACATTTTTAAGAAGGAGGGAAGCCCACCTCATCCCATTTTTTAAGTGTAAATGATTTTTCTTAAGAGGTGAAATCATTGCTGGTTGTTTTATTTTTTGGTCCAACCAGAAAGTAGTGGGGTATTGGATTAGGGGAGGCTCTGCCTGTCGGTGTCCGCTTCACATTCCGTAGGTGGGTGGCTTTTGTATCCTACGACACACTGCACACCTAACGGCAATTCCGAGTCGTAACTGTGCATTGCATCTGTCTTGGAAATTTTCAGTTGCTTCTCCCGTGTTGGTCAGTAGAGCTGTTTCCTACAGTGAACCACTCCTTGTTGCTCTGTCAGAACCGTGCACGCCCTGTTACACCTTTGGCTGTGGGGGTCCAGGGTTCCTAATCGTTAACGTGCTGTGAAAGACTGAAGACTTGCGTGTCGTGTGTGTGATGTTCAGTCGTGAGTGGGTGGGATTTAGTGACAGCAACTGCAGACACTGGTACTTGGTAGCCTCTTGCAGAAGAGCTGCCTTCAAATTCAAAGCTGGAAAGTCACTGGAATAACTTCAAAAATGACAATTCATGGCTTGTTACTCTTGGTACGTATGTTAAGCTTTGTATACAAATCGAAATGTCCGTGTACTGATTCTCGACACCAATAAAATCTTAGTTGTGAAAAAAAAAATAATGCCTAAAGGGAGTTTTCTAAACAGAAAGAAAATGACAAAAGAAGTAATTGTGGAATATCAGGGAGAAAAAAGCAACATATGGGCCCAGCGGCATGGCCTAGTGGCTAAAGTCCTCACCTTGCACTGGGATCCCATACAGCTGCCGGTTTTACTCCCAGCAGCCCCACTTCCCATCCAGCTCCCTGCCTGTGGCCTGGGAAAGCAGTGGAGGACGGCCCCAAGCCTTGGGACTCTGCACCTGTGTGGGATACCCGGAAGAAGTTCCTGGATCCTGGCTTGGGATCAGCAGAATACTAGCTGTTGTGGTCACTTGGGGAGTGAATCATTGGATGGAAGATCCTCCTCTCTGTCTCTCCTCTCTGTATATCTCACTTTCCAATAAAAATAAATCTTTTTTTTTAAAAGAAAAAAGCAACACACACACACAATGATAATGTCTGATGTCTTTCCAAACATATGCAAAAGAAATATTTAGACAATATTGCTGTAAGTGGGGAAATATAAAAGCATATAAAGCAAAAGGCGTTTCCATACTTCACTCTAATTGGTAAAATGACAACATCAATATTTTGTTACATCAGTATGCATTTAATGTAATATCAACAGCAACTGCTATTGATATCCATATCGAGAGATATAAAAGCACTAGAAATAAATCAAATTGAATTCTAATTCATATGTAACGACCTGCAGTAAAGCAGGCAATAAATAACTATAGAGAACAAAGGAAAAAACAAAATAAAATTTAGATCTAAGCCCTAACATATCAATAATCACATTAAATATAAATGATCTAAGTACACCAATTAGAGGATAGAGACCAACAAAGTACAAAAAATCAAACAGATGCACTAACTCGTATTTTGTCAACATAAATTCAGTTCCAGCAAAACAATATAGGCAGGTTGAAAAATAAAAGGCTAGAAAGTATATCATACAAATAATAGAAACAAGGAATACTCATATTAGTAGCAGATAAAGAAAATTACTGAAAAAAAAGAAGGTGTTGTACTATAATAAAAGGGTAATTTCACCAAGAAGATATAACAATCCTAAATACATGTGTATTAGACAACCAAACTCCTAAATATGTGAACAATGCTAGATAGAACTGGAAGGAAAAAGTAGAGGAATTCACAGTTACATAGTACTCAGAGTTCTCAACACACCTTTCTTAACATTTGCTGGAACAAACTGACAGGAAATAAGCAAGGATAAAGAAGAATTCACTACCTTTAACCAACAAGATCTAACTGATATTTAGAGAACATTCTACAAACAATAGAACGCACATTACTTTCAAGTACTTACGATGTGTACACTAAAGTAGACTATAACCTGAGGCACGAAACAAACCTCAATAATCTTAAAAGAATTTAAATCCCATACCAGAAAGACTTTACAGAGTTTTTAAAATGCTCAATACATTTGGAAAACTTCAAGCAAGACTGACAAAAGAAAATGAGAAAAAGTATAACGAAGCAAGGATTAGACCCTGAAGGTAAAAAAAGACAATATTATGAACAATTTTGTACACATAAATGTGGCGATTTGGATGAAGGCAACTACTTCCTTGAAAAATACAAATCACTAAAATTCACCTAATATGAAATAGATCATTTGAGTAGTCCTATAATCAAGGACATTAATTCATAAATTAAAATCTTTCATAAAAGAAATCCCCAAGCTCATATTACTTTCTTTGCAGAATTCTATTAAAGAATAACTTAATTTTGTCAAAGATCTAATTATATACTTGAAAGTCAGAGTTAGAGAGAGAGAGGTCTTCCATTCACTGTTTTACTCCCCAAGTGGCCAAAACAGCAAAACTGAAGACAGGGGCTGGAAACCTCCTCTTGGTCTCCCACATCATTTTTGGTCATACTCCACTGCTTTTCCCAGGCCACTAGCAAAGAGCTGGATTGGAAGTGGAATAACCAGAACGTAAACTGATACCCATATGGAATGCTAATGGTGAAGGCGATGGCTTTCCCACTACGCCACAATGCTGGCCTCAAGACTAAGATTGGCAGAAAGAATGAGCACCAATTTTAAAAATTAGAATACAGGATTGTGTAATAACAAAAAGAAGTACGTAGTATGACCAGGTGAAGCTTATTCTTGTCATGCAAAGCTGGTTCAACTTTCAGAAACAAATTCATATACTATATCAATGGGCTAAGAAAAAAAAAAGTAACGTGATTATATCATTTGATGCACAAAAACCGTGACAAAATCCAGTATCTATTCGTGACAACTTATAGTGAACACAAACTTCATCACTTGATAAAGATCATCTATAGATGCTATAATCAATATCATACTTAATAATGAAAGATTGAGCCTTACTTCTAAAATCAAAAAACAATTTTCACTCTTCCCATTCTTATTCAACATAGTGCTGGAATTTATAGCCAGCACAATATAAAGAAAAGCAATAGAAGACATTGAAATTAGAGAGGAACAACAACAACTACAAAAACCTGTCCCTAATTGCAGACAACATACCTGAACAATAAGTTAAATCTAAAACAAACAAAACAGTAAAATGTGAACAAAAGAAATGCCTAGAATTAAGTACAGCAAGAATGAATCACATAAAATCAACACACAAGACTATCATATTTCTATGCACTAACAACAGACATGTGAAAGCAAATTTTAAAACAATATAGAAATGTTGTATAGGATACACATGCTAAATAATATGCATTCCTGATACAAACTTAAAGAGGCTCTAAATAAATAGTACCACACATCAACAATGAATCAGAAAATTAAATGTAATACAGATGTCAATTCTCTCCAAATTTTTCTACGTATTTAATGCAATGTCTATCAAAATGTCATCACTGTGCTAATGAACAGTTCTGGAAGGCAATCAGCTAAAAGAATTATGAGAAAGAATAAAGTCGGAAGAATCAGTCTATTCAACTGCAAGACATATATAACTACATTAGTCAAGACTGTTAGGTATTTGTATAAAGTTAGATGCATAACCCAATGGAGAGGAATTGAAAATTCATAAATAGCTGCTCATCCAAAATCTTCTGACAAAGTTGCAAGAGCAATTCAGTGGAAGAAAGGTAACTTTTTCAATAGATGATGCTGGAAGAGTTGACTCACCATAAGCCTAGAGTTGAACTTTGAGCTATCACTTCTATTGTACACAAAAGTTCAAAATAGATCATGAGCTTAATACAAATGTAAAATTATAAATGGTTAGGAAAATTAGGAGAAAATATTTGGGATCTGTAACTTTGCAAACAGTTTATCTAGATTCAACATCCTGTCATCCATCAATGCAAAGAAATCAGTATATGAGACTTCAATTAAATTATTCATTTTGTTATTGCTAACACAGAGTATTACATACTAGATGTTGGGGCCTTAAAGATGATGAAAATATACTATGTTACAGGAGCTCACAGTTAGGGAAAAGAGATAGTAACAGATATCTCAGTTATGATGATGTTGGGTACACAAAACGAACCATTAGCTCTCCTGTGGGTATAAGGACTGGCTTATAATACATAATTGAGGCTGTTAACAATGGGAAGTGACTTAACGGTTAAGAAACAGGTGGAAGACTGCTCCAAGCAGAGAAGACAGTAAAGGATCATGACAGGACACTGAACTCAGAGAATGGTTAAGATGTTTAAAGAAGTTTAAAGCTTGAGATTTGAATAGAGACATATTTGAAGTAGAACCAGCAGGATCTGATAATGGACTTGATAAAGATTAAGTGAGTAACTGGGAGAAGGGGAGATCAAGAAGTTTCTCAAAGTCACAGAGCCACTAAATGTGATCAAAAAGAGAAAAGGATGGGGGACTGATTTTGGAGGGTGGGGAATATCAAGACAGCTGTTTGTGCTGTTTGAGGTGCCTGTGGTCCCAAGGAAAAGCATCCTATCAAAGGCTGGAAATATGAGGTTAGCATGTACATGTGAGAGGCATCAGTATTCGGGTGGCTGAAGTCATGGAAGTAAATTATGTTGCACACTGAAGGAACAGACAGAGAAGCTTGGGTATATGTGTAGGCGTGAGGGACAGGGAGAGCAAAGCCCACCGCTCATTTTTGACTGCTTGCCATTCCGTTTTCATAAAAGTAGTTGAGATTCTCCTCCATGTGTTAACATTTAGAGAACTCTGGCTTGAATAAGACAAAGAGATGAAAGGGCTGTAGTTCATCCATTTCTCAGCCATTGCTGCCAATTTCCTTCTCTCTTTTTTTTCAGCAAAGCATCTCATGAGAGGGAACAATCTGCTGAGGTCAGTAAAGAAAATTCAGTAGG